CCCCAGTGCGAAAAACTCACACAACTCATGGATGTCATCTCAATAGAATGACATTTTCTCAATGTATGCAAAAATCGAAATCGAATGATCAATTGATTCTCTTCTGTCAAATGTTTCTACTCAAAGAAACGTACGGAAAACCCGGAAAAATTTTTTCCGCATGGGCTGAGTTGACTAATCTTGCTTTACCACTTCGTTTCCGATTTATTTTATTCATTTGATTGAATTCAATTAATTAGAGCTAATGTACATTACAACACATGCAAGTTCTCACAACTCTTACTCTTACTGTCATTCAAACACATTTTGTTCAATATTTCACGCGCTAAATTGAGACTTAATGCAGTTTTACTGCCATGGAGTTTTGACAGCATCTTGCTTTTACTGCCGCGTCGTCGCAATTTTTTGTCACGCATTTCACGAAGACGGATTTGCTTCAAAACACCCACCAGGAGCTCGTCAACGTTGTGCTGTATTCCACTCGACGTCTCTATGAACTTGCACTCTCTCGATGTGGCTAATTGTTTTCCCTCTTTAACAGAAAATTTTTAATTGCAGGGTTGGTCTTTGAAACAACTTTTTCACGGTAATTGCTTGAGATGTTTCTTCAAATGAGTTGGGGAAAAGAGTCTGCTGGAAGGACATTACAGTTCTTGAATCAAGGGGAATGTATTTCGTTTAGATTACCGTAGAATTGGATTTAAATGATGTCTTGAGGGAATTCAAGGACTTACAATAATTTATTTCTCGCAAAATTACTTTCTATTTATAGAAAAAAGTTCGTTTAAATGAAAAAATCTTTTCTTTAAAAAATTTTCACTCAATTTACAAATTACGTTGCTTTTAAATTCTGAATGAGATTCTCAAACAAAATATAAATATTTACATTATTTTCAAATAAACAAGGAAATTTCTAGGGAGAAAAGCAAACATTGTTTTTCATTTACGAAATGAAGATCTATACAATTAAAACAGAGAAATCTTCACCAGATATTTGAGCAGATCCAGGCCAAATCAGCAGGATGAAAAAGTCGATGCTGGGGATTCTCGTCAATTTTTTTCTGAAAAGATGGTGTTTAGGCAAAAATTTAAAAAAAGAACAATTGAAAAATATTTATAATTCAGAGAGTTATGATTTCTTGAAAAACGCTAGTTATTGTCCAACATTTTTTTCCAAATTGGCGATTTGATAGCTTGAAATCTTTGCGGGATTTCAAGCTATCAAATCGCCCTTTAGTACACTCAAAGAACATGGAGACCCCTCAAAATCAGACGTCATACATAATATTATCTTCAGCTTGAGGGGGTTTATACGAGAAAACTTTTTTTTAATCGTTACTTAGCCAAAATGCTAATTTTTTAATAATCTGAAATTTACACCAAAAATTGTCAATAATTTTCAAGAATTTTGGCACCAATTAGAGTTTGTCTTTCGCCGTGGTTCGGCGGTTATTAATTTTTTTATTGAAACAAGTATTGAAAATGACCGAAAATCGAAATTATTCATGCAATTATCGCCGAAATAGGTGAATATTCAATTAAATTAAAATTAGAGGCATTTGTCTACCGTGATGAACTCATTATCAGGATTTTTGTTCGGCTTTGCGGTCTCGGGAGTTAAATAAATCAAAGAAGAATTACGCTGTTAAAAAAGCCGACGTTTCGACCCAAGCTGCGGGTTCTCTTCAGGGCTAATCAATAGCAAATTTTTACGCTTATAACGAGCAAGTGGAATATCAAATAATTTATTTTAATTTATGAGTTTTAGGGGGGGGAGAAGGCAATTGTGTAATAGTCTTTAGGTTGATTTTTTGCGTGTTCCAACAATAAATTACCCCTGAGGAGGACTCGCAGTTGTGCTCGAAACGTCGGCTTTTTTAACAGCATAATTGTTCTTTGATTTATTAAACTCTCGAGACCGTAAGGCTAAAACAAAAATCACGATAATTCAATTAAATATTAGCAAATTGTGGAGGTCAGAATCATTATAATTTTTTATTCAACTTCGGTCTGATTTTTTCAGTGAAAAATTATCATTTCTCTAATTATACGATGGAAATACATTTTTCAAACAGCTGTCATTTGTTGATAATCGAGAATTTAATTGAATTCACTTATTCTTCATTATTTAATTGAATATTCACTCATTTGGGGGATAACTGCATGAATAATAGCTATTTTCGGTCGTTTTTAATACTTGTCCCACTGAAAAAAAAAATAACCGCCGACGTACGGCGAAAGACAAACTCTAATTGGCGCTAAAATTCCTTTTATTTTATTGATAATTTTTGGTGAAATTTTTAGATTAAAAAAACAGCTTTTTTTTTAGTAATTAACGAATGAAAAAAAAATGTCCATCGAGCCCATCGAGCTAAAAATAATGCTATGTATGATGTCTCATTTTGAAAAGCTTTTCCTTTGAGTGTGCCAAAGGGCGATTTGAAGGTTTGAAACCCCGCAGAAATATTGAGGCCAAATTGAAAAACAATTTTTTTTTACAAACTAGCAATATTTTTCAATTATTTTTTTCAAAGATTTTGTCTAATCGCAATTTTTTCAGAAAAAATTTTTGGTCTGCTGATTTAGTGCGAATCTGCTCATTTACGTAATTTAGTTTTACATTATATTGGGATATTTAATGAAATTCCTGGCTGCATCGAAACTCATTATTGTCCGTAGTAAAATTTACAGTAACAAATTTCAAAGTGTTAGTTTCGTCCATGAAAATTTAATAAACCTACCATTAGCACTAATGGTGCGGCTTCTGGCTAGGTCAGACTTGTTTCCAACAACAATGACAGACCTCTCTTGCGTGAAGTGCTCCTTCCATAGATAATTGAGCATCTCTTCAGCAACTTGAAAACTTGCTCTTGATACTATCGAGTACACGACGACACAAGCGTGTGGTTCATAAGTCGAGAGTGAATTTTCCAGCTAGAAAATAATCATAAACAGGTTTCAGATTTCATTTGACAATGCGAAAGGTCGAAATACACTTGTCTGTTTCACATGGGAGAAACAAGTGGGAAATTGGTTTTGTCTTGACGTAGCATAGCTATTTTTGGTAATAAATTGGTAATATACTTCCGAGTGGTCATTTTGCGTATCTTATTGTATCGTTATCATTCATCGTTTTATATTATTTTGTTGAATTGAATTATATTTCTTCTGTAGTTAATTTTGTTAGATTTTTTGAGATTATCTTATACATATATAAAGCAGAAGCCCGTTTTCACGAGACTTAGGTATCAACGCAAAGCCCAATTTACTAGAGCTATGACCATGAGCTTTTGCCTACAGCTTTCCTTAGTAACGTAAGCACCCACTAAGGAAGGGTTTTTGGAAATTCATCCCCTAATGGGGTGAAATGGGGTAAATATTTTTATGCGATTTCGAAAACCACTCAAGTTAGGGACTTGAAAATTCACGCGTAGATTCTTCTTTCGAAATTAATCGACGGGTTTTTTCTTTTTTGAAAATTAACTCCTGAGGGGGCGAAACGCAGAAATTTCTAGAAATTTCCACCAATTTCTGGAGGTTTCTTGAATTTTCTAGAAAATGATGGAATGCTCCTCAGAGATGAAAAAAACTCTGTTTCCCTAATCATGTATGAAATTTCTAGAACTTTCGGGGAAACTTGAGAATGTTCAACGGTAGTTATTATTAGACAAATTATTTTCATTTCTGTTATGACACATTTTACCGCAATTTTTAACATTTCCTAATAAGTTCTCGGGTTCTTCGTAAAATCTAGAAAATTTGGGTGGTCTGTGAAGAATTGGGAAAAATTCGGCAATGTTTTGCAAAACTCCAGGTTTTTCTAGGAAATTCATGAAAATTAAAGAAGTTGCTAGAAAATTCAGGGGAATACAAGGAGTTTTTAGAGAATGCAAGAGAATTCGGGCAGTTTATGAATATTTCGAGGGAATTCCAGGAATTTCTAGAAATTTCGAGCAAATTGAAGAAGTTTATAGAAATTTGAAGCGAATTCGAGAAGTAAAAATTTCTTCAATTGATGATGCTGTTATAGAAATACTTGACAATGAGGCATAAAATAAATTTTATGAAAATTGTGAAGCTAATGATTTATATTTTCATTCCCCACCTGTGTAAACCACCAAAGAATAAATTAACAAATCACTTTCAATTAAAAAATAAGATGTAAAAAAACAGTTGCCCGGGAACGCCAAGAAAACTAGCTAGTACTTGTATAAATAAAAGAAAAGAATGATGCTATCTGTACTATCTTGAAACTTCGATAAAATTGTACTGGAAAAACTTTCTTAAAACCACCACATATGAAGAAACCGTCGCAAAATTCACTTTCAGGGAAATTGAGAAAAAATTGAAATTTGCAAAAATTATCAGTAGTAATACCCCAAGAGCTTCAAAATTATCGGGTATTTTGCGATAGTTTCGTTGTAAACAAATGAGGGTGTCAAATTTTGCCGGTTAAAAAATCCCGCATGCTTGACCGAGGCATTTTTCTGCAAAACTTGACACATTCGTATTTAATTGACGAATTTAATGATTGAAAATGGTCGAATCTATAGTGTGGTCTGTACCAAACTGTAAAAGATACTTGGATATCCTTAATGAGAGAAGACCTTCATATCTTGTAGAGAAATTTGAATACAAATACTCTGAAAACTGTAGATCTATGCATGCAACCCTCTTTGTCTTGAAAGTGTTACACTCGCGAACGAATCATGACTGTGCTGCCTTATCCATTAATGGTTTAACTTTTTGTAATTCAATTCCTTTAGACAATCATTCCATCATCTTATTCATTAATGGTTGAACTTTTTGGAATTCTATGTTTTTAGAGATTAGGGAGAAACCCACCCCTGAGGAGTTTAGTAACGCCCTTAAGTGGTCGCATCGTGAGGGAATCCCCGCAAAACCATACGCAACCTACAGGGCGTCACTGTAGAGCGAGTGAGATGCTAGAAAAGCGCGACCTCTTAAGGATTAATTGAGCAGAGAAAGCAAATAAGCCAAATAGGTAGCGAATTGAGGTTTTCTTTCCATTTATGTAGTACTTTTTTCTGTTATATGAAAATCGATAATTGTGATAATGTTGGAATATGTGAGACTTCATATGACTGACGGATTGTTAAGACCTTGTAAATAACCGACTTAATTGTAAAAACTGTGCCACTGTATTTATAATGAGTTAAGAAAAGGAGAAACTATGACATGGAAGATAAAATGAATGAATAAAGAAATAATTGAATAACCAATAATAGTACATTACGTAACTAGTGCGGAAAGCAGGCGGTTACTCACTCGGGCGGCGCAGCCTGCTGTCCGCACGTGTTGCGTATACTATTTTATATGGTAAGTGCGTGCTGAAGTTTGGGGGTGGAGGGGAGGCGAGTGGGGG